GGTCCGAGTCAAATGAAGCAGCGGGTACCGCGAACTATCTATCTTGTGAGGTTTTTTCGCAAGCTCTCGGACAAGCACTGAGCATACAGTGCTTATTAATATACGTTGGGTAAGGGCAAAACCTGTTATATAAAATTAACATCTCCCCAACACAAAAATACATCTTGAATACAAGAAAGAAATTCAAATTCATAACAAGCAGCAAGCCATGGCAGCTTTGCCGTTCTAGTTTTTATTGATTTTAGAATATTTTATATTCCCCATAGGTTGTGAACATGTTTTTTTGTTCCGCAGGCAGTCTTGGACAATTTTCTTGATCTGACTATGTATCAGGTGTGCACTCTATGTTTCCCAGCAAGGGAGGATCCAAGAACAACATTGTCATCATGGAGTCATATGGTGTCAAGTAACATGACATTAAAGGAGCAAACTTCAAAGCCTTATAACTCCTGAAGGACATGTCCAATTTGGGTGAAACCTTGCAGTTATCTAGAAAGGGAATCATCTTTGACAAAACTTGACCTTATGTGATAATGACATCGTCATGTGATGAGTCATGTGACATTAAAGGTGCATTCTTTCAAGCAATGTATCTTGTAAGGTACTTGTCCGATTGGGTTCAAACCTTGCACTTATCTGGAAAGGGGAGGACTTTAGACGAGTAGCCTATTTTAAAACTGCCTAACACCTGGAGAGTCTACCTTGTGCTTACGATTTTAACACATTAAGGGGAATGGATCAGCACAATTATGGGGAATAATTTCCCAACAAATTTCGCACCAAAGTGTTTACTGTTTGCATTTGGGAGTGGTAGTTGGCCTGTGGAGGCAGTCAGAGAAAAAGAACACGACAAAAAGGGGGTTTAAAATTCATCTTATCTTGATACAATTAACACAAGCAGCCAATTCAATGTGTCAGTGCTATATAGTCCTATTATAAAACATGCACAAAAAGCTATGTATTGAAAAATATTGGGTAAACATGCATTTGGGGATGAAAAATTGGTTGAAATTTAAATATTCTTGCCCAAAAAACTAGTTTAAGAAAGTAGCCCATTGCAATAAAATATTCCTTTCATATAGGAGGAGCATGCATACGTACAAATTCCAAAGTGTAAACTCAGATTGTCACAGAGGATTTTGATGTTGTCAAGTCAAGGGGCCGGCGTGCCATGGACGCATATCATAACGCATATCACTATCACGTCTCAGAAGTCACAATGGAAATTCATCCAATCCCAAAATTTGTTACGTGCCACGTGGTGGCCAATTCACCAATCAAACTACATGTATATGTTAAATATATGTCGGCATCGCCAGTGGTGGCCTGATTTTTACTGATAAAATTCATCAATATAAATCGTTTTTTGACCAAAAAATAAATAAAACTTAGGCCTTTTTGCGAGGGGGGGGGTGTTTCAGTTGTCATTGAGGATTTATAAAATCTGTTGCAGTGGATTTGGGGGGAGGGGAAGCATTTTAGTCTTAAAGTGACTCTGACAGGAAAGGATCTTCAGAATAGGCAAGTACGGGGGCCTGGTATATGTTCCTTCATCACAGATAAGGTTTTGAGTTTGACCGAAAATTGCAGTTTGCCTTCTGAAAAACAGTAAACCTTCATGTACTGGTGTAGACAGACTGGTTTGTGGTATATATATCTGTAATCACAACCAATCAATTGCAAAATTATGCATCAAGGAATTCAAGATGCAGTTTGTATAATTCCGTGCCTTGTTTTAGTTATATCTCCATGTTGGGTAGCTGTGTGACGTTAACTGCACCACACAGGAAGGCACCACACGTTCGCGTGAAGGCACCGCGTTTGTCACTCGCTCGTAATGGTTTACAGCGCGGGACACAGAACGAGCGCTTGTACTCGTCTTGAGCTTCACTCGTTTACTGCTCGCAAATTTTTGAGTGGGATTTCAAG